CACTGCCCGTGGGCTGCCCCATCACGAGCCAGGGCGGGGGATGTGAGGTGAGAGCACTCTGGGGAGAGCACCTCTAGCCTCAGCGGACCCCGTACAGCAGGGAGAGGAGCCCCAAGAAATATCCCAGAGACAGAGACAAACTAGAGCCCAGCTCTGCCACCAGCGGCTTCGCGAACTCTTCTGTCTCCCCATCTGTAAGACAGGGTCACTAAAAAGGTCAGATGAATATTTTTTGAAGTTCATTAAATATTTATTGAGTACCTACTATGGGCCAGGCACGGAATGGTTCTGGGTTTGCTCCCTGGGGACACTTGGCAACGTCTAGAGACATGTTTGACTGTCACAACCAAGGAGAAATAGTGGGCAGAGGTCAGAGGTGCTGCTGACCATCCTATGATGCACAGGACAGCCCCCCACAGCCAAGAATTATCCAGATCACAAAAGGACAAATACTGTATGAGACCACTATTATAAAAACTCATTAAAAGGTTTACACACAGAAAAAAAAAAAGAATTATCCAGCCCAAAATGTCAACAGCGCTGAGACTAGGAAACCCTAATCTAGGCTACAGGTCTGTAGCAGTGAACAAGTCTCTGCCCTCTCTCAGTTTACATTCTAGTGGGAAGACACAATAAAAAGCAAAGGAAAGAAATGCAACAGGTCTTGAGTGTAGTACAGGAAAACAAAGGAGGCCAGGTGAGGCAGTGTACCTGGTGGGGAGCTTTTGTAGGCCAGGTGCTCCAGGAAGGAGACACATGATTAAAAAGAAGTGGGGGAATGAGACCTGGGGATATCGGAGGGAGGAGGTATCAGTTTGAGGAACAGAAAAGTAGTTACCGTGGCACAAAACTGTGAACGTGCTGCACAGCACAACTAAATGTCAGACACACACACACACACACACACACACACACACACACACACGGCACAGTTGGCATCAGAACTCACCCACAGCTATTGTTTGTTGTTGGGGAAGCAGTGAGTTTATGTTTATGGTAATGGGAAAGTTGCCGATGATAGATGGTTGCACACATAATTAATGTAATTAATTTTGCCAAATTGGACACCTGAAAAAATGTTGAACCTCTTCTGCCATGAACAACCCCCTGACATCTTCTCCAGGAAGCAATGAACAGTCAGGACCATTAAATGTCACTCGACCCTGGGGAGGCACAGGGCCCCGGGGAGCCCCAGGACTACAGTGAGGTCCACTTCCTGACACAAGAGTCCCAGGCAGGTTCTCAGTTTTATGTGTTCCAATGCCTTTCCCATCCACTCGGCCCCACCAGGAGGGCAAGGTGATAGGTACTCTCTGCATCCACAGATGAGAAAACAGAGGCTCCCCAGCTTGGCCCAGGTCACAAAGGCAGCCAGGGGCAGAGCCCAGGTCTTGTGACCACCTGGGAGTGTGGCTCCTGGAGGGTTGGGGCCAGGCTGTGGTCATCTCAGGGTCCCCAGAGCCTAGCACTGGACTGGCCTTAGAGTAGGTGTCCATGAATGCTGGGAGAACGAATGAACGAATGGCACTGCCTCAGGGTGCCAGACCACGGGTCCATTGCCCTCTGAAAGGATGCATGACCACTGGTCACACCCTCAGCCAGCACACAGGTCTCCCCTCTGGGATGTGGGCAGGTACAGGTGAGAGGAGCCTCATGGGCAGCAGGAACCCCAGATCACCAAACTCCACTCCAAAGGCTAATGTCCCTAGGTCAACCTGGGAGCAGGGGCAGATTATCTAGTAAGTAAGGTAAGAACAGTGCTCACCTTGATTACTAGATCATCTGCAGCGAACAATTTCACATTTTTTCACCACAGCAAAGATTCTGCTTCTAGGTATGGTTTTGGCAACTGTCTCTCTCCCAACCCCACAGCACCTTCCTGCAGAATCAAAGCCTCTTTCTAAATTTACAAGCCTGACAGGGGTGGTTGACCCAGTAAGCAAGGTAAGCATGGGCTTATTTGTGCTTACTTACTAATCTGTAGTGAACAATTTCACGTGGGTTTCACCACACCTTTGCCGTTCACTACAGATGAGCTGGTAAGCACTTGTGCATAATACATCCCTGCCTGGGAGCCCCCAACCTCTCCTCCAACCAAAGTTGACCCAGGTCCCTAGGTAATAAGGAGCAAAACACTGGCCCCTAAGCCTCCAGTCTTCCAGAGACAAACTAAAGCCCAGCAGGTAGAGACCCCCTCAACCTCCTCCCCAGCAACAAGCAGACAGGCAGACTGCCGGGGTCCTGTCCATCCCCCCGGCACCAAGCACTCACCTATCCTGACAGCTTTTCTGGCATTTATTTGTCAAATGAATGAATGAATGGCCAAATGAAATTAATGAATGATGCATTCCAGATAGGCTGGTAAATATGGCTTTTAAACAGAGGCAAAAGCCCCAATGGCAAAGTAAGTTTGAATCACCTGCCAAACTTGGGTCTCCTTGGGGCTCTTTCTGCAACTCCACTTAGTAAAATCCCAACATTACTGAGTACCTACTGTGTGCGAAGGACTGGGCTGGGGGACAGAAGCGGGGACATGAGCACTGGGGAGGCTACAGTGAAAAGAGCTTTGGAATCAGGCAGACCTTTGTTCAAACCCACCACCCCAACTCCACAGCTCTGTGATCCTGGGAAATCTCATAACCTCTCTGAGCCTCGGTTTCCACAACTCTAAATGGGAACAGCATCACTCACCTCTTAGGTGGTGCTGTAAGCGAGGTTTCAATGAGATTCTATAGTAAAGTACCTAGCACCGTGCCTGGCACTTAGTAGGTGTTCAACAAACAGGAACTAATGTGATAATAATGAAGAGGAGGAGAAACCCACGGTCCCTGCCCTCAAGGAACCTTCCATTTATCAAGGTGGATAAGACACAACTAAGGAGCCCTCGTGGTGCAATGGTTAAGTGCTCCCCTGCCAACCGAAAGGTCCGTGGTTCGAACCCACTCAATGGCTCCAAGGGAGAAAAGACCTGGTGATCTGCTCCTGTAAAGATTACAGCCTAGGAAATCCTATGAGGCAGTTCTATTCTGTTACATAGGGTCTTTACGAGCTGGAATCAAGTCAACAGCACACAACAACAACACACAACCTACTTTAAAAAACAGAATGTAATCTGCCCTAGAGAGGGGCAAAGGGCTCTGAGAGTCGGAAGAGAAAAGGATCAAATCCAATGGGGAGAAGGAGGAAAGGCTTCCTGGAGGGGGTGGCATTTTCAAAAGGCCTTGAAAGAGGAGGATGTCAACACAAGAGGAGGGTGAAGGGCGTACTGTGGAGAGGGGCAGGCATGGCAAAGGCAGAATAGGCAGACACATGATGACCATCCAGTTATCTGTCTCTCAGGGTGTGAAGTACGTGTACAGGAGGAGGAAGGACCTGACACCTCACTGGCATCTGGGATACCTGAGAAGTTTCTGTCTCAGCGATTGGGAGCCACGGGAGGCTTCCCAAGTGGGAAGAGAGGCAATCCAGGCTTGAGGAGGGTCTCTCCAGCAGTGCTGCCCAGGAGGGATCAGCAGGAGCAGGGGCAGGAGGCTTGTGGCAATTGTTGGTGGTGGTGGGGTGGGGTTCTGACCTGACGAGGGAGCTGCTGATCAGGAGGGGAAGGATGTGAGGGACACTAGAGAAACGCCCCTCAAACAACTCCAGGACTCTGGCCAGGTGTCCTGCAGAGAAGCCCTGTGCCTCCTGCCCCCTGAGGCTCACATGTCCCTGGGCGTCACCCCAGAAGGCCCAAACTCAGCAGCACGAAGCCCTCCTCAGAGACCCAAGTCTATGGCAAGACCCTGCTAAGAGGCTGGAGACCACAGCCGCCAGCAATCATAGCTACTCTCAGAGGTGGCTCTCTTCTGGCCCAAAGTCCACCCAGAACCTCCCCTGTCCACAGAACAAGCTCTGGGACAGCCCCCAGGGACCTCCCCCCCTCCGCCGCCCCGCAACACCCATTGTGGGTGAGTCAATTCTGGCCCGACAGCTCCTGTCTTCCACCCTCAAAAACTGGACTCTAAAGATGTCTGTGGTTTCGCATCAGCAAATCACCTCACACATGTCACCACAGAAGCCAACACCACCTCCCCACCTTCCCATCAAGACATCCAGACAGGTCAGCACACCATAGTTCCTTCTAGGCAGGATCATGAGGGAGGGGCTGCACGCACACCTTCTTCCCAGCAGGAAGAGTGACCCGTGCCCTTCCATAAAACACCAGGAGTCCTCTAAGCCTGTTTTCCTTCTCTGTATAACGGAGTTAGCCTACCTTACCAAACCATGGTGACAGCCAAACAAGGCAAAGGATATCGAATCCCTCTGTAGAATCTCCCTTGCCAGAGAACTACTGTGCTGACTGATGTTAGTTTTGAATAACAGCTCTGGGGGCCCCTGGAGGCCACCTCTGCCTTGATAAGTAGCCCAGAAGGTCTCCCTCTTGTCCCCAGAGCTCCAACACAGGTCCTTCCAGGATCTCAGCCTGGGAGGCTGGAAGACACCCTCTCCTTCCTCCCACCCCAGAGCCCACCGAGAACAGGCTCTGAAATGACCCCTAGGAAGGGGTCTGGGCAAGCGGGAGGCAAGGCAGCCCTCAGTCCCACTGGGCCCTTATCAGGCACTGACTGCACACCTCGCCCGTTTGCTCAGCAGGGTAGCCCTGGTGTTTCTAACAAAGACGAAAACCATAGCCCAGAGAGGAAGTCTTCTGAAGAGGGTGCCAGGGCCTGGCCGTAGGCGTAGCACCCCACAGCGACCCTGCAGGTGGGATGGCAAGGTCGTGGTAGTCGCTGGAGTAAAGCATGAGGGTCTGGGGTCTAGCGGGGATCTGGCCAGGACCCGCTGGCCGGCCTCAAACGCCCTGGTCTAGGCTCTGGTGAGCGGATGGGGGGCCCCCCGGGGTGCGCCCCTGTGCCGCGGGGCTTACGGGATCAGAGTTCCGTCGGGGGTGCACGTGTCCCAGGCAGGTGGGCCTGGGGTTCCCGGCGGCGTGCGCTTCTCAGTCCCCTGAAACCCCTCACCTCTGTCACGGCGCCCCGGGAGAGTGCGGCCGGGGCACCTGGAGGCGGCGCACCAGCGGGATGAGCGTGAGAGGCAAGCCCTCCCATGGAACCGCGTGAATCACCCACTTGGGCAAGCACCGCGGTCCAGAGCTGCAGTCCGACAGCCAGCGCGGCCCAGAGGGCGGCGGGCACCATGGTGCGGGCGTCTGCGGCGCGGCGGGGTGCGACAGGGTCTGGCCGTGCCCTTTGCTCTCGCGCTCTCGCGTCTCTCTCCCGGCTCCGCTCCGCGCGCTGCGCTCCTGCGCGGTCTCTCGATGGAAAGCGAAAGCTGGCGCGGGCCGCCAGCCTAGGGAGCAGGCGGAGGGGCGGGCCGGGGCGGGGCCGCCTCCCACCCTTCGCCTCCCACCCTTCGCCTCGGACATACCTCCTCCTCCCTCCTCCCATGACACCCCTCCTCCCCGCAGCGGGCTGCTGGACACCTGGTCCTGACTCTTACCCTAACAAGGCTGAGCCTGCCCCAAGCCTGCCAACCCAGCACTGGGTCCATACCCCCAGCCACACTCACAGCCATCAGTAGCCCCTCAGCCTCCTTCTAGAGCCCCCTCTCTTTCGAATCACCTTTCCCAGTGTGGGGTGGGAGACCCGCAATGGGGACAGGCTCTCACCAGGTTTGTGGTTGCCCCGAGGCTGTGTCTCTCAACATGTCCTGCCTCCACCTACCCTTTCCACAGGCCACCCACTCCCTGGGGGTAGGACATGGAATTTGGAACCATCCGATGATGTTAACACACTCTGGGGGAACCAAGGCAGTTCTAGACCATTCACTCATTCAAACTCCAGAGCAAGACCACCTGCGTCTGAATTTCTGCTGTTCTGAGGATTAAAAGATAGCTAAAACAAGTAAACAAAAGCCGTTGCCCTCAAGTCAATTCAACTCATAGATACCTCATGTTTACAGTGTAGAACTGCTCCTTAGGGTTTTCTTGGCTGTAATCTTTGCAGAGGCAGATCACCCAGGCCTTTCTTCCGATGCACCACTCTGTGGGTTCAAACTGCCAACCTTTAGGATAGTAGTCTGGCACAAACTGTGCCACCCAGGGACCTAAAGATACATAATATACATAACACCATGTGTGTGTGCATGTGTGTGTTTTTGTAAGTACATATGTGGCTTAAACACTGTATAAGTATTAGTTATTATTACTGTTATCCATTTGTTCATTTATCCTTAAACATTCATCGGGCCCTTCTCAAAGAAAGCCAGACTCTCTGCTCTGCCCACCTTTTTGAGTTTCCATCCAGGTGGCTGGCAGATAAACAGAGGCTGGGACAGAAAACCATCCAGGAAGTTGTGGGGGCCACAGGAGTGGCTTCCCTAAATCTCACATTGTAGCTGAACATCCACAGTAGCAGCCACCTGCCACTCCCTTCAAGTGCCAACTCTAATACCAGGGCCACCCTTCATAGCTGAAACATATTCTCCCAGTCCAGACTTATGGGGAAGTCCTTGTCCTGGCACACAGGGCATTTTGAGAGTGAGATGCTGCCCTATTTCCCTGTTCCCCAACCCTAAGCTTCCCCAAGAGGTGCAGGGCCCCCTGCTCTGGGCCACCAATCCCCATGATGAAGACAGCAAGGACGATGCTTCCAGGCTCTGAGTGAGGAACTGGTACGTGACCCTTTTGAAGGATGGAAAATCCCACACCCTGGTCAGGAGGCTGGGAAATCACCTGGTTGCCACGTATTTCTGAGACACGGGCCACGCTGAGGGTGTGGCTAGCCCCGTCCACAACCTAAGTCTGCAGAGAAGGTCAGCCACCAAAACAAGCGTGAAGACTTCTGGCCTTACAGTCCTCACCTGGGAACAATTTTAAGGCTTCTCAGTTCCAGAAGCACAAGCTAAAGGTCAGGAGTAGGGTTGTCGCCTGGTGGAAGCAGGGGTGTATGGTTCTCCTTGGATGGCCTCCTGACACCTCAAACCTAGTTGGTCCAACTGACTCATTGCCTCCAACAAGTTCCTTGTGCCAGCTTCCCCATCCCAGTGAATGGCTCCATCACCACCCAAACATGGGAATCCTCCAAGGATCCCACCTCCCACCACAACTCCCAAATGTTGTAACAGTGCACTCTGAAAGAGCTGGGCTCCACGGGATGGGTGTCAGTCAAGAATGTTGCCCAGTCCTGCTGCATCTTCACAATTATTGGTATGCTCGAGCCTATTGTTGCAGCCACTGTGTGTTTTGAGCACCTTCCAACCTAGGGGGCTCAACCTCCAGCACTATATCGGACAATATTCTGTTGTGACCCATAGGGTTTTCATTGGCTGATTTTCGGAAATAGGTGGCCTGGCCTTTCTTCCTAGACTTAGTCTGGAAGCTGTGCTGAAACCTATTCACCATGGGTGACCCTGCTGGTATTTGAAATACTGGTGGCATAGCTTCCAGCATCATAGCACCATGCAAGCCACCATAGTATGACAATCTGACAGATGGGTAGTAAGCAATGATGTTAGAGGAATTAAAAGAACAGTTAGGAGGAGAGAAGACAACCCTGAGATTAGCCACTGCAAGAAGCCACCATCACCTCTGGGGTTGGAGGTTGTGTAACCAGAGCCAGGAACCAGGAGACATAATATCCTGGCTTCTCCCTTCCTCCTGCCCTCCAATCTCCTACCAGTGCCTCCCATTGGCCAAACCTAAGACAGGACCTACTTGGCAAGGGAACCTGGGAAATGTAGTTTGTAGGGGTCAGCCCACCTTAATAAAGGGGGGTGACAAGAAGTGGAGCCGAGAACAGATAACTGTCCTTTCCCAGCCTCTGCATGAAATCTTGGGCAGGTCCTAGAGCTTTTCCAGCCCCTCTCAGGGACAGAACAATCCTCTGGGTTTGCTCAGATCACATAATGCAGTCCTGCCCTGGGAAATAATTACAGCTCCGATCTCCTATCCAGTGTGGAGCTTATCCCCTTCTCCAGTTGGACAGCCAAGGCATGGAAGCCTGCCTGGGGGAGAAGGACACGGTGACGTCTCTTTTGACTCTGCCAGATGTGACCTCTCCAGGTCAGGCCCAGGGGAGAGGGTTTAGGGGAAACAGCATTCCATGGCAGCTCCGGTTGTCATCTACCTCACATTGGGGCCCTTGGGAGGCAGTTTCTGGATCCTTCTCTCTGGGAGCACTTTTGCAGGTCTCTTGGAGATCTTCCGGCTGATTCCTCTGACCATGGCTCCCCCGTACCTGTGATGCCTGAGCCTCCTGCTGCCCACAGCTTACCATGTGCCCTTCAACTCTTCCATCTGATGATGGTCCTCTCGGCTTCTCTTGATGAGGCCACTGCCCCCAACAGGAAGCCCTTTCAGTTAGAGTCTCTTTCGAGGTGGCCCAAGGCTGGCTTCCTCCCTAGAGCCCACAGTGGCCCACCCTTTGCACAGCACCTGTAGCAGCACAGCTAACGCCCTGTGCACCCGTCTCCCTCCAACTCTGCCACTTCAGGCTCATCTAGCCACAGTCTCTAACTTGGCCACAAATCTTTATCGCACACCTACTGTGTGCCAGTCGTGTCCTGGTGCTGGGGACTCAGCAGTTAACAACACAGATGGGAATCTCCCATCACTCTCATGGTCCCTAAACTCCTGGGAATACATAAGCTCTCCCAGTGGTCCCTTATAGCCCCTCCTGCTTGGCCCAAGATAAAGGGAAGCACCACTCTACTCCCCCAAGGGGCAGCAGGGGGCACTCTGCACAATGGTGGCTCCTTCCCAAAAATCCTTTCTCTTGGCCTTTCCAACCTGGCTGTCTTGTGTATAAAGGCTGGGTGTGGGCAATGGCGAATTCTGGCTGAACCAGTTTCCATCCTTTAGCATGGCCTGCACAGATGGACCAGGACTCACTCTTCAGGATGGGGGATTGACCTTGGCACCCACTGTATTGCAGCTGCCACTGGGGACTCTGCTAAAACTCAGCGTCAGCAGGGGTGTGCCACAGTCTGGGTCACCTGGCCCCTCTCCTCCTGCCCCACAGCCCCACCCTGGCTCCAGCCTTGGCCATCTCTCACCTGCAGTGCTCCAGTAGTCTCCCAAGTGGCCTTCTGGCCTTTAGGCTCTGGCCGTCTAATCTGTTGTCCACACTGTGGTCAGTGCCAGCTCTCAAAAGCATAACACAGCATGTCATCCCCCAATCCAGTGGTTCTCAGCCAAGAGGTGATTTGACCCGCTGAAGGGACCGTTACCAATGTCTGGAGATGTTTTTGGTTTTCACGACTTGGTGGAGGGTGCTAATGGTATCGAGTGGGTAGAGGACAAGGATGGTACTAAACATCCTATAATGCACAGGACAGCCTCCACAACAAAGTCAATGGTGCCAAGGTTGAGAAATCCTGCCTTACCTCATGACTTACCACAGCTTTCAGAACTGAGTTCAGCCTCCTCAGCCAGACGCTGGAGGCCTTCACCACTTAGCCCAGCTGGCACCCAGGCAGACCTCCTGCACGCTAACCCCCGACTCCACACTCTAACCACTCAGGGCTCCCAGAGAAACCCCGGGCCCCTCACTGCGTGCCTTTGTCCATGCGAGTTCCTCTGCCTGGGATGTCTCTCCCTCCTTGTTTGCTTGGTGATCACCTATTTGTCCTTCAAATTGCAGCCCAAACCTCTCTCCTCTGTGAAATTGCCCTTGACCACACCCCACTGACCCAGGTAGAATAGCGGAGCCATAGTTCTTCTACAGACCTTTAGCATTAACACTCACCTTATTATTGTTCGTTGTTCTCCTGTCCTCCTCCTCTCTCAGTAACTCACTGAGCTGCACTGCAGGAGTAAGGCCTGGCAGTCTGCATCCATAAAGATTACAGCCAAGAAAACCCTATGGAACAGTTGTACTCTGTAGCACATGAGGTAACCATGAGTCAGAATCAACTTGACAACAACAGGTTTTTTTTTTAACTACGTGCCACGCATTCTAGTGGACAGTCTGGAGGAGTCACTCTCCAGCCTCAGCCAGCACCAGAATCATCAGGAAGGCTTGTTAAACATGCAGACTCCTGGGCCCCACACCCATGTCTGTTAAGGGCCTGACCACGGGCTTTTTAAGGAGCCCCCAGGTTACTCTGACGGAGACTTTTAGAAAGACACTGTACAGAGGTGTCAGCTGTGGCCAAGGGTGGTTTGGAAGGCTTCACTGCGGTCGGGTAGGGAGGGACCATTTGCACCACGTGGAGGTCGCTGTAATAGTCTTG